TTTTTTTTTTTTTTTTTTTTGCTTGCCAAGTATTGCTTTAAGGAATTAGCCTTAAGCAATTCTTAGTCTGTGAGCTTTGGGTGAGGCTAACACCCCCCCACTTCCTTGAGCATGTGATGCAGGCCTGGCCAATCAGAGCACTGCTTCCCCATAGCCACAGTGATTGGTTATTGAAAGGATGTATGACTCAAGCCAAACCATTAAGAGTCTTCCCTGGGATCTTTAAGCAATACAAATATTTATTTATTTATTTCACTTTTGCTATTATGTGTTTGTCTATTTATTTTCACCTTTGCTTTTGGCCACTGTTAAACTTGGTAGAATTTAAGCTACAGTTGCCGATGGCCATCTTTGCAAGCAACTGAGAAGAACGTAACTGAGACTGACACTAACACAGACGTGAGATGCAGAGAGATTCCAGACAACACCGTTTTGGCCTCTGGATCTAGCTATACCTGAAGCTAAAGTCCCTGAACTTTACCATAGAGTAACCCAATAAATTCCCTTTCATATTAGGCCTATTTTGAATTGAGTTGTGGCAATTAAACAAAAGAAAATCTCAACTAAGATGTCTTATAAGACTCTTGTGCCTGCCTGTCTCTCCCACAGGTGACTGAATACACAGGAGGTATTCAGAATACTCGTGCCAGCTGAGGAGAGGCTCGTAAGAGTCACACTGACCCTCATTGCCATCTAGGCCCAGTTCTCTCACCAATGCCAGAGACAGACTAACTCTTACTGCATACCCTTCTCCCAGCTCCGTAGGGGCCAAGAAATGGCATTTGTTATGGCCATTCTCTGCAGATGTGCTTTTAGCTCAGAATACAAGTAGGCTTCATCTTATATCTCAGCTGCAATTGATGAGTTGTGGCTGATGTGTGAAGGATTGTGAGTCTTTTTTCTAAGCTCAAAAAGATCCATAATCGATTGATCATGTCTGTCACGAAAGCAGGAAGGTAGAATAGTGGTCTTATGTGCTGGGTACTTCTGGTATTTCTCTAAGAATTTCCCAAACAGACACTCTTTGGTCATTAAGCTGGTACATGTAGCCTGGACTGGAACCCACATTCCCAGGCTTTTTATGCTTATGCTATTCCTGGCACACCAACTTTTCTCCATGTAACCTTGAATGGTGAACATTCTTGACCTTGTCAATACCTGTCAATCCCATAGAGAAAAGGTCTACCTTAGTTCTCACCTTTGGGGCTGATTCCCCAGGAGCAACAGGGAAGCCCTTTGGAACAACCATTGACTTCCCCTGGCCCCTTCTTTACCTTTGAAGAAGGGACAGATCTTCCACACGGTGGCTGCTCCCTCCCGGTTGTACTGTCCCAGAGCCAGCTCCATGTAGAACAGGGGCATCCCTGCGATGATGAGGAACAGGGTGTAGGGGATCAGGAAGGCACCTGGAGGACACAGAGGGAGAGTGTGACCCGCTTGACCCCCTGCCCCTCAGGGCACTTGGCTCAGTGTCCACTCTGACTTATCTGCCCACCTGGCCGTTTCCCAAGGAGTGTTTTGTGTCAGGTAAACATACTTACACAGAGCGATTAATGTGAGTAATCCTAACAGAAGTAGTCCTTGTAATAGTACTACTAATAGTAAGAGTCATGGTAATGATTGTTATTGTTGGTCTGTGGTCAAATTCATAGCACAGTAGCATCTGGGTTGAGCAAAGTTAAATAGGTTTAATTCTTGCAGCTTTCTCTAGCCTAGACCCACAAGTGTAGGCTACGACACACCACGAGGAGGGTAACAGTGTAACCTTTATGAAATTTATTGAAACACGGAACCTTTCCTTTCGTGAGTCATCACTCTGGGGATGCCAATCTAACCCAAACCCTTCCTTTTACAGGCAAGAAAATTGAAATCAGAGAGGGAGAGACAGTGCCTACAGTTACATATGACTGAGTTTCTAATTTTGTTCATATTGATATCATTTTGGGGTCACGTGTGGCTTTCCCAAACATGATCTCACTGGATTCTTCTTAGAGTCTCACGATAGTCTGCAAACACAGTAAACAGTTAGGGGGAAGAAGAGGGTGGAAAAGAGAGTTCTCCTGTCTCTGTGTGCACTGCTGATGAAGGACAGAGGCAGGATTGCACCCAGGTCTCCCAGCCTGTTGGGTTCACTCTACACATGGCTGAAGATAAACACTCAAAGAGGCCGGACGCTCAAGACTCTGACCAGGGAACATGCCTACCCAGAGACTGCAGGAACTTGAGGGGGTTCCTGGACAACAGGCAGCAACTGATCCAGGGGACAATTCCTGCTGGCACTAGATGCATCTGAGTTGCAGAGATCACCCTCAGTGTGTCCTGCAATTCTGACACCAAGAGGTGACTCTCTGGGACACCTGCTATGTCAACCCAGGCTGCAAGTGAGACCAATGCAAAGTGCCAGCTTCTTTCTAGATGCAGCTGGAGGTGGATCAGGCCAGAGCCAGACTCCTCCTGCCATCAGGAGGCTGAGATGCTGTCACTTCGGAAACCAAATACTCTCTGAGCCACCCATACTGAGAAAGCAGGAATTACGGAACAATGGTAACATTAGCCGTGTTCACAGCAGGTACCAGCAGCTCACACATCAAACACTTTTCATGCAGCATCTCATTCAATCCTCACAGCCCTAAATTGCAAAGATTATCGTTGTCTCCATTTTACAGATGTGGAAACTGAGTCTCCATGTTCTTCTGGAACTCAAAGAACTATGGCAAAGTCACTCAGCCACTCAGATGTCAGTCTCCACCTTCTTCTCAGGACTTCTCCAGAAACCTAGGGTTCTTGAGGACAAAGAATGAAGTGTTGGTCCCGATGTTGGGAGACTCGGACCCTTCAGAGCACAAGATGGGCCAGTGGATTTGGGCCCAGGTCTCCCTGGCTCTAGAGTTTCAGCGCTATTCCCAGCACACCCTGTAGATCCTGGCACATTCTAGTCTAGATGAAGAACATGAGTCTGAATAGGATCAGTGGGCAGTTGTTCTGGGACTGGAGATCTGAGACCAGGTAAGCCTCCCAGTCTGTTGTTATAGACTGGTTCAAGGCCCCAGCTCATGCTCCAGGATGGATTTCTAGAAGCGACCATGTGCCATTTCCCCCTGGGCCTCAGTTCCTCTGGTTCCTCTTTTTTCTCTGCTCTCCTCTGCCTCCCATATAAAGAGGGCTGACCTGACAGGGGAACTCACACCGGTCCGAACCACCAACAGGAATGATGCTGTGGCTGTCCCTGACAGGCAGCGGGGTGGGGGAGGGCAGCGGGAGTGACAAGTCTACTATCTATTGAGCACCTGTTAAATGCCAAGCCATACACAAGTGTCTATCCAAATATTCACTTAATACCACCCCCCACCCCACCCCGAGAGGGAATTACCACTAATTCCACTTTACAGATCAGGAAACTGAGGCTTCAAAAGGTCAAGTTGCTTGTCTAAACTTGTAAGTAAGCAGCTTGGCTTCAAACCTGCATCTGTGGGAGCCCCACTCTGCCTGGGGCCAACTGCTATTCCCCTTGGGGGTTCGGGTGGGGTGGGGCTGGAGTCAGCAGCCCAAGGGAACACGTCAAAGGAATAGCAGGGAGTCACAGCTCGGGTCTGGGCCCCATGGAGGGCAGCTGGTGACTCAGTTTTCATTTCTGCATGGCCAAGGAGGGCAGAGAGAACATCAGCTGATCCACCCAGTTTCTCACTTTGGCCGGTTTCCTCACCTCTGAACCTCCAGGTGGCTCTGCCAATGCCGGGGTGAATTGCCCACTTGGCAGTCATCTCCTCTGCTGCTGGCTGGGCGTCACAGCAAGCAGACCAAGGAAGGAAAGGCATCCAGGCGCTTGTCTATGTGCCTGTGAGATGTGGGCCAGCCAAAGCTTCTCTCGGGTGAAAACAGATCAAGAAGACTCAGGGCTGGGGAAATGGCTGCGTGTGAATGAAGAACGGGGCAGCTGCCTGGTGGCCCGGGCCCTGCACTGTAATAGGTCAGCCAGCTCGAGCAAGGCCACTTGCAGAGGGAAACCAGGGCAGGGATGAAGGGTCAGAAAGGGGCTTCGGGCGTGACGGAAGTCAGCTGCAGATGGCTCTATTATAAACAATCCTGCAGCAGCTCCTTGGAAACTGAGGCTGGTTGCAAACCCCTTAGGAGTTACTGCCCTGCAAGGCTTATAACTGCCACATTCTTAGCGTCCTGCTACACTTCCCTGTGTGATGGTGCCAGGTGCAGCCAGACCCCTCACACAGCACCTGAGGGTCTTGGGGCCCATGCGACCAGCATCTTATTTTGGCTCCCAATGCTCTGGCTGTGCAGGTGCCCAGATGACCTGGAAAAACACAGGCAGGGCATACTTTGTGAGGGTCTTGGCACCTGGGAGTCTCCAAAAACATATGCGTGTGCATGAAGGCACGTCGGTACATCCTCCACTAAGGTACACATGTACTTGTGCACAGTGACACATTCACACAGCCACACTGTGAAAAAGACACTAACTAGTGGCCTTTGGGTGAAGTTAGCGAGGAAAGTGTTTGTCCCGTCATCTCTAGCCCAACTCATACTGCCTGCCATCCTACCACCAGGGAGGAACTCTGCGGGTCACATAGGGAGTCTGGAATCCTCCGGGCAAATGCCAGGTCCTCAGAAAGAGAAGCGTGGGGCTCATTAAGTTCAGAGGGGGGCAGTGCCTGTGGCTCAAAAGGGTAGGGCGCTGGTCCCATATGCCAGAGCTGGTGGGTTCAAACCCAGCCCTGGCCAAAAACTGCAAAAAATATAAATAAATAAAAATAAAAAAAAAAA